GGTCTGTGTCAGTGCTGATCGCCCCCCACCCAGGCCCATGGGGGCTGTTACCTGCCCTGTTTGGGGGGGGGTCACTCTTGGGGGGGCCAGCTCATGTCTGTCATTAGTTCTCAACTCCCACCCCCAAGCCTCCCTGCCATTCTGCTGGGGGAGGGGCAGTCCCTGGTGGGGGGCTTGGGGGTTTATGCCCTGCTCGCCCCCCCAACCCCCATTTCTCAGGCACCCGATTAGCACTTTGAATCGACACCCTGCGCCCCTCCCCCACCTCAAACTATGCAGCAGGTACCAGACACCCCCGCCCCCTTCCGGAGTCCAGACTTCAGCCTCCCCATCCACACTGACCATGAGCTCTCCCGTGGGGGTGTGGGTGTGGGTTATTGTAGGCCCTACAGCCTCGGGGTGTGTGTGTGTGGCTGTGAGCCAGAGCTCAGACCCCTGGTGAATCGGGGGTGGCAGGAATGTCACTCCCCCCCCCCCCCGTTTGCAGGGTCTGGGGGGCACCCCTGTTTGGACACTTTGTTTGAGTTGCTGTGGGGGTAGGGGTGTGTCGGGTGGGGGCCCTGCCTTAGCAGCGCCCCCCGTTGCGCTCGGCCCTTCCCCCCCGCACGCCCCTCCCCCCGTTATTTTCGCTTTTATTATTATTAACCCCCCCCCCACTTGCTTTGGAGTTACAGTGATTAAAGCTGCTGCTTCTCAACCACAGACAGCGCCTCCCCCTGGTGGTGACATGCCGGGGCTCCGGGGGGTGTCCGGTGCAGACTGGGACCGCGGGGGGCAGGGGTGTTCCTCGGGGACCCTGGGAAGGGATGTTTCTCTGACATGGGGGGACAGGGACCTGGTGAGGGCACTGGGACCCTGGGGGCAGCGGGTGGAGATGGTCCAAACTTTGACTGAGGTGGGGGGCTGGAAGAGACCAGGAGGGGGAGGGGGCGTGGTCCACAACTGGACCCGGGTTGGGGGGCGGGGGAGAGGAAGGATGGTTCAAACTGGGACCCAGGGGGCCTATGGGGGGGGTGCCTGAGTGACTCCCCTGCTCATCA